ACCGCCTGGGCGTTTCTTTTCGACCCCTCATTTCCATTTCGATGAAGGTCGTTATCGTACAGAGTCTGAAAACCGATGCCATTCGTTTTTGAGTCGTGGGCGGTGGACGTCACTGTTCCTCGTTGCATGCGTCAAATTTTTTGTCGATATTCTAGACCTTGTAGCTTCTTGCGAGACTTTTCCCCGATGTCCTGGAACTTTATATTTGTATTAAAATTCATATTTATTCTATTTAACTTTCATTTAACCTTTAAAACTCCATAAATTTATTTTGTATTAACTTTCTTTTAACTTTATGATTGTATCATAATTATAATTCCTTTCTATATCGTACTATATCGCCCATGCTTTATATCGACCTGTGTGCATTCCTGCCATCGGGTTAACACAGCACAGTTCCGTTCTATCTATTTCCAAACACGTGCCAGCGGAGCCGCCACGCGCTCATCTACTTACTGGGCGGTGATTTGTTGATGAGTGGTGGGATTTCTAGCAAACCTGTTAGTCCACTGTGTTCCTATCTGGCAAGCCATTCCCTAAAATCATTTCTAAGAATTTAAACCTAGCCCTCAATAATTTACAATGGGATTAATATTTTCAAGTTAAATTCCTGCCAAAAGTGCATATTATTTACAGACACTATTTCTAGTTACAATTCTTACCCTTTTAGGAATCAATTTAAAAGCATTCTATATTAATTTATATATTCATATTTTTACGAAATACAAATCAATGTTTATTGACCCATATTCAATTCCACGTCCATTAATTCACGTATCTCAACAGTCTCACTGGTTTGTAATCATTCAATTTATACATTTATCTCACTTGTTTAGACGAATCGACATTCAAGATTTTAAATTAATTTTATAACATTACAATCATTTCCGAAAATAATCAAGTCCTAGTTATGTATTACATCAATTCCTAAGAGACATTTCTTTACATGTTTCACGATCCATTTTACAGATTCTAACTTCATTTTCACATTACAATCAATTTAAGACAATACAACCAAGTCACACGTAGTCATTATCTAATCAATTATACGACTACAATTTATTTACCACGTTTAGAATCAATTTACCGATTCTGCCATTATTTATCATCTACAGATCAACTTTCCGAAAATAGAATCGTCCTGTATCTATGTATCTAACATTCATAACGCTACATTTTATTAACTACACAGATCAGCTTTTACTTCCAACTCCATCTACAGCTTTGCCAGTGAATTTACGTGCGCGGAATAATCTCGCCTTCCGGAGAAAGTTCAATCAGTTTCCCACCTTCTGATGACCCCCACGCATGAAATTCGAATGAAAGAGCATGCACCGAGCGGGCCATCATACCGTGTGTTGACATGGGGAAGTGACTATGGACTGTCCTATGTGTTGCTATGGAAGGGCTTACGCTACGGCGCCGGTGTGGGGCCGATTCCTATGGGCTATGCACGGCGGGCCGTGTGGTGACTCCTATGCTTAGGATGGGCAGGGGAGAAGGGGAGCTGTGGAGAAGGGAGGAAGGGGGAGAAGGGGCAGGTGGTGGATGAAGGAGAGGCGAAGCTGTGAGACGGCGGAGGGGCGAAGGCAGAAGGTGGTGAGGAGGAGGGGAAGGGAGAAGGTGTTGGCGAGGAGGAGGGGGAGAGGGGAAGAGATGAGGTGGTGGAGGAGGGGAGAACTGGTGAGAAGGGGAGGGGAGAGTATGGGGAAGGTGGTGTTGAAGGCCGGGGAGAACGCTGGTGGCGAAGGAGGAGGGGAGGCCGCATAGGTGGACGCAGGAGGAAGGGAAGGTAGGGGGAGAAGGGAGCTGTGAGGAGAGGGGTAGACGGGGAAGCTGGTGGTGAGGCGGGCGAGCAAGCTGGTGGAGAAGGAGAGGGGGCGACGGGAGAAGGTGTGGAGAAGGGGCAGCGAAGTCTGGTGGAGCCGGAGGATGGGGGGGGGAGAAGGGAAGGTAAGTGGAGAGGAGAGAGGAGAAGGTGGTGGGGGGGAGTAAGGGAGTATGGGTGGTGGAAAGCGAGGATACGAGGGAGAGGCTGGCTGGAGGGGGAAAAGCTGGTTGAGAAGGAAGCCGCGCGAAGGGGCGAGAAAGGAGATGGTGGTAGGAGGCGGCGGAGAGGGAGAAGGTGGATAAGGAGGGAGAAGGAAGCTGGTGGCAGAGGAGGAGTGCGAGACGGAGAAGGTGGTGAGCGAGAGGAGAGAGCTGGTGGAGGTAAGGAAGGAGGGGAGAAGGGAGAAGGTGGTGGAGACAGCGGCCACGTGGAGGCAGCGTGGTGGAGAGAGGAGGAGGGGAAGCTGGTGGAGAGGGAGAGGCTGTTGGAAGAGGAGGGGGGAAGACTGGTGAGAAGGAGCGGGGGAGAGGGGTGGGTGGAGGGGCGAAGCTGGTGGAGAAGGAGGAGGGGGAGAAGGGCGAGGGGTGAGCAGGAGGATTGGAGACGCTGGTGGAGAATGAGGAAGGCGGAGAAGGGCGCAGTGTGCGCAAGGAGGAAAGGGAGAAGCTGGTGGCGAAGGCGGAAGGGAGAAGGGAGAAGGTGGTGGAGTTAAGATTTGAGGGTGGCCGAGACGGATGTAGAGCAGCAGGTGGATGAGAAGGCGGCGGGGCAGACAGCGTGGTGGACATGGGAGGAGGGGAGAAGGAGACGGACGCGACGGACGACGGGACCGCGGACGATCAAGCGATTCTACAAGCTGCATCTGACTATGTCAGATGAGCTAAAAATAATCTAGAAAACCAAATAGCCATACTTTAAAATGTGAACACGAACAATGCAGTGCCATTTATTTCATTAAATCATTTATGATCAAACTGCAATATAACTCTCAAATTGTAAGCAGAATGGATAGGCTCAGGTGGAACTACGTTCTGATATTCCTATAGTTAGATACATAAGCAAACGTTCACAAATACTGTGTGGTTGAACTTTGATGTACCTATTATGCTGGAAGCGTGGCGGAAGCAGTCGCCGTGGAAACCACATCGAAAATGCAGCCATTATAACCCAGAGTATAGCGAGTTCATCGAGAAGCTGTCCAAACAAACTGAGTGTCGCATGAAAGTATGCCGAGCCCACACCAACAAAAAACAGCAACACCCAGACAAGGTGTACACCTGCAGAAGAGGAAGAATTATTGAAATAATTGCTTTATATATTTGTGTAAAAACATTATTTTAACTCAACATGATTGACTATAAGGCTCAAGCATGAATGCAATACCTAACAGATATACATCCGATAGTGATAGTGTCCGCCTATCAGGGATATAGTTAACAAGCCATTGCCGCGCTCGTGCACGCCCGCACCCACACATGCACGCACGCACACACGCACGCACACACACACGCACGCACACACACACAAAGACACACTTGGCTCAGTACAGGGGCCTAATTAGAGTCAATGAAATACATATCACTCACAAGTGGACTACTGTTATTGGGCAGGGGTTGAAGTGATAATCACAAGTATATTCAGTTTCTAAGAATCATACAAAAAACCTCGTTTACAGGTTAAAATGCATTTCTGGTAGCAGATAGTCTACAAAGAAGTTTAGTTGTGCCATGTTTTTTATTAGTCAATAGTGCTAGTTATCTGATACCAAAAGCCATCCTTTAAATGTATTAGCCCATTTTTTAAACAACGCAGACACACAATGCGCAGTTAAACAATGCTCATGCGTGCCCCAGTAGCAGAGCTACCAGAATTTGCATTTAGGTAGCAAATCCATAAAAACACTAACAAGTGCCAAGTGGTTTATTGGGAATTTCATACATGGTACACCTGATATATAATGGGTGATGGAATATATATAGCAGTCATATATATCTAGATTCAAGCTAACAAAGAGTGCAGCCTGTGAGAAACATTCATAAATTGAATTCATACGAGTATAAGTAAAATATTACAAGAGCCTAAAAGTTATTATGAAACATGATTGGCATTTTATTGCTAATAACATTCACCCTACCTTGTGACACTACACATCCATATTGATTGAAAAGCCAAATCAAGATTGGCGGAATTATGAAGAACAAGGCATTACTAATCTGAAAGCAAAAAGAGTTTGTTGTAATTCATCCTATATATGATTTTGGGTAATGCTTTAGAGAGACAGATAGCTGAAGAAAAAAAATTTGAAAATGTAAACTAATGTACACTTAAATCAGCAAGGCAGTTACTGTTTTATAACACATAATTAAGATAGACTATGGTTGTGAAGTTTCTTTCACCAAAACTCAGAACAATTGGAAGAGCAGCATCTAAACTTGATTCAAATGGGGTACTGGCGGAACTAATCAGCAGCGCGGCGCTGATCGTCAACTCGGTTATTCAATGCAATTGTGATTGTAAACACTTTAGTCAGGTCCCTTAGCTTCATGATCGTTACAGAGCTGACAAAAGCATCGAACTTGGCACAGTTGTAGCCTATGGCAGTACTATAAATATTAGAGGTGGTGCCCAATGTAGATATTCCTTAGAAGTGAATTACAGATGATTAAAAGTTTGAACCGCGCCCGCCTGTACTGGCACATTGTATACAGCTGTTAACCCCCCCCCCCCGCATACGCTCTTGCGCTATAGGCGGCATGAAAGTGTATCAACTCTCATATCTCGCGAACGAATTGAGCTACATTTCTAGAAATCTAGATACATATAAACACATAGTTTAATTAATTACCAAAAATATACGCACGGTATCGTCATAGGATAATATATATGCGCGGCTATGGCCATAGGATAGTGTACTAACTCTAATATCTCGCAAACGATTAGAGTTACATTTTCTAAAATTCTAGATACATAAAAACACAT